AAGTTATGGCATTTCCGATCGTTCAGTTATATGGTAGCTATAGGATATAGTCTGCCGATCCTTATGAAATTTGGTAGGTCGGATTGATTGGCCAAAAATAAAACCCATAGAAAATCCCAACTTCCTAATATTACAAACACCAAAGTTATGGCATTTCCGATCGTTCAGTTATATGGCAGCTATAGGATATAGTCGGCCGATCCTTATAAAATTTGCTAGGTCGAATTGATTGGCCAAAAATAAAACCCATAGAAAATCTCAACTCCCTAACTTTACAAGCACTTAAGTTATGGCATTTCCTATCAATCAGTTGTATGGCAGCTATAGGATATAGTCGGCCGATCCCGGCCGTTCCGACTTATATACTGCGTGCAAAGGAAAGAAGGGTGTGTGCAAAGTTTCAATTCGATATCTTTAAAACTGAGAGACTAGTTCGCGTAGAAACAGACAGACGGACAGACAGACGGACAGACGGACAGACGGACAGACGGACAGACGGACATGCTTATATCAACTCAGGAGGCGATCCTGATCAAGAATATATATACTTTATATGGTCGGAGATGTCTCCTTCACTGCGTTGCACACTTTTGACCAAAATTATAATACCCTCTGCAAGGGTATAAAAAAAATGGATCACCGACAGATTCAAAATAATATTTAATAAATCTATTTCTATATTAATGCCAATAAGGAACAGTTCGAGGGGGTTGAATTTTATTGATTGATTTTATTGATGATGATAGCTATGATAGCCATATTCTATGACATATTCTATGACTAAGTACAAATTTTCTTATATGTACCAGAAGCTCAATAACAATTCTAAATTAGGTTTAAAGGTAAATCTGAAAAGATCCTGACGAAATTTGGTATGTCGGATTGATTGGCCAAATAAAAAACCCATACAAAATCCCAATTTCCTAACTTTAAAAACACCAATGTTATGACATTTCCGATTGTTCCGTTATATGGCAGCTATAGGATATAGTCGGCCGATCTTTTTGAAATTTGGTAGGTCGGATTGATTGGCCAAAAATAAAACCCATAGAAAATCCCAACTTCCTAATATTACAAACACCAAAGTTATGGCATTTCCGATCGTTCAGTTATATGGTAGCTATAGGATATAGTCTGCCGATCCTTATGAAATTTGGTAGGTCGGATTGATTGGCCAAAAATAAAACCCATAGAAAATCCCAACTTCCTAATATTACAAACACCAAAGTTATGGCATTTCCGATCGTTCAGTTATATGGCAGCTATAGGATATAGTCGGCCGATCCTTATAAAATTTGCTAGGTCGAATTGATTGGCCAAAAATAAAACCCATAGAAAATCTCAACTCCCTAACTTTACAAGCACTTAAGTTATGGCATTTCCTATCAATCAGTTGTATGGCAGCTATAGGATATAGTCGGCCGATCCCGGCCGTTCCGACTTATATACTGCGTGCAAAGGAAAGAAGGGTGTGTGCAAAGTTTCAATTCGATATCTTTAAAACTGAGAGACTAGTTCGCGTAGAAACAGACAGACGGACAGACAGACGGACAGACGGACAGACGGACAGACGGACAGACGGACAGACGGACAGACGGACATGCTTATATCAACTCAGGAGGCGATCCTGATCAAGAATATATATACTTTATATGGTCGGAGATGTCTCCTTCACTGCGTTGCACACTTTTGACCAAAATTATAATACCCTCTGCAAGGGTATAAAAAGAGTGTTAACAACCAAGATGCGAAAAAGATTTAGAATTGAAATTAGAAAATTAGATTTAAAAAAAAATTAGGTTGTGACAGTAACAGCTTTCTCATGTCAGCCCAACTCGACCCAACAGTTTCATTGTACTAAATCTCAATAATAAATAGAAATAGAATAGACTTTCTCAATGTGTTTTATATAGATGCCCCTGACACACCGCAAAACTCAAGTCTCGCCAGAAGTACAGTATTTTCGGTCGGTCTACACAGAATCTTAGTTGGTGCGTCATAAAAGCGAGATTTCGCTTTCAGGTTTTCAGCCTTTTAATAAACAATCAGCCACACACTCTCGCTCACGCAGAGAGTGTATCACTTGTTCTAAATTAATCTTCATTAGGGTCACTTATACAATAACAAAATCGTCGGAGGTCGGATCGTGCAGGGCAACTGGGCAGCCATATGTTGCAAGTTCTCCACCCTACAATAACAATAACCCAACCTGATGGGGAGTGCCGCAAACTTTGATTGAATTTTCATTAAATTTTTCGCTGCGGCTGGGAAGTTCACGCCATAAATTAAAAATTCAACTAGAAAATGTCAACTTTTCACTTTTAATTAGTTTGGCAGAGTGCGACGAATTTTTAGGTCACGCTTTACTAACATAAATCAAAAATTTACTTGCGCAAATATTTGGAAAAATTCCAGTGCGCCCAAAACTTTAGGGCTTTGCAAATATTCCGGGTTAACATAGCTGTAGAGCACTGTACTTTGGGTGGATGCCCTTTCATGCCTGTGGCTTAGTTTTTTTTTTTGCTCAGGTAACTTTTGGTGCATCATGTTGGTTACTTAGTCACAAAATATTTGCAATGTTATAAAATTGAAGCTTGTAACAGTCAGCTAATTTTAAATTTTTTAAAGGGTTTAGTGAGTTTTTGTAGGTATCTACATTTTAATCTTTATTTTTGATTAGTCAAATCTCGACACTACGTTTTTATCTCGCCTTAAATTTTCCGTTTCAAGCAGAGGTCAGACACAACTGGTGTTAGTCTGGCGAAACATGCTAAACAGACGGTTCGGAAAAACTGGTCCCCCCTTCGCTTTGCTGAATTTTCGTTGCCCACCCGATTTCTCTGTCGAACTTATACTGCAGACATGTAAATTACGTCGGTTTTGGGTCCGTTTGTGTAACTTTCAACCTGGCAGGACTCTGTCTGGCAACATAAAAGGACTCTCTCCATGGAGACCCTTGCCTTCTTTCACAATAATCTGATATTCTTCCAGCATCACAAGTTTTAAACGTATTTTATGTTTTCGATACATTTTATATCATTATTAAAGTTTCAAGTGACTAACTTTTTGAAAATTAAACGGTTATGAGAAAAATTAAAGTTTTACCAAAGTTTCTGTGTGCAAAATATACTATTTTTTGCACTTTTTTGAAAAAGTTGCACCTAATTTTTATTTAATAACTTGAAAATGGGAGAATATTTATTTTTATTTTTATATACGCTTCTAATAAAAAAATTTAAAATTTTTTTGTTTATAAAAATATTTTTCATTTACAAAAAAAAATGGTACTTTCAGAATAAAACAAATTGCAACTAGTCCAATGTTTTGAGTTATGCGATTTTTCATATAAATAATGAAAATGTTATACATTCAACTATTGTAATCGTTAAAATAGTTTTAATTTTTAAAAATTTCCAGATATTCGGAAAGTAGATGTCTCACTTGGAAGATTTTGGCTCACTGCGTATTAGAGATAAGCACTGTAAAATTTAAAATGGTATCAGGCCTACCTTTTTCAGTTTTATCTTATTTGGACAACAAGAATATAAAAAAGCTTTTTGATTATCACTTTTTAGGCTCAAGGTAGCCAAATGTTATCGACAAAATAATGCTTAATACGTCAAGATATCAAAACACGAAATCAAGACTAACGGAGATGTTTTTTTGTGCAATCGGCGTAATTTTGGAATGAATAAAAATAAATAAGAATGAGTTTTCAAAAGATTATACGTTTTATGGAACTATTAATATTATACTACAATTTAAGAAAAAAAGGATTATATTAAAACATGTTAGAAATAATTTTCTTTTTTGACGTTTCTTTTTAATTTTCATGAAACTAATTTTTTTCAGATAAATATAACAATTAATTATATAGCTTCTATCTTATAGACAACATTTCATTTTAGTTTAATGACTCCTGGCCTCTTAGAAAAACTCTTCAATTGGCAAGTCAACTACATATTTGCCATGGCTTAATATTTTATTTTCCGCTAAAAATGGCAGTGTTTTTAAAGAATCAAAATATATTTATTAAATTTAAAGTTTCTTATTTGTAATCTTTAGTTTCAGGTTTGCAATGTTTTTTGTTATACTTCGGCACTGTGCGTCTGTGATGAGGGGTAATCGTAATCCCACAATGTGTACCATGTGTTTCTTATATACACTTTGCGTTGTATGGCTAGTGGTTAGCGTTACGACATGGATTGGATTACAAACACAATAAAACAACAATTAGTTTTAGTGCGAAGGCGGAAGAATAAAAGCAAAGCCACCACGATGCCGACAACATTGCTGTTGCCCTTTAATGGAAGATGAAATACGATAAAGCAGCTCCCAAAGCGAAGTTCGTGGAATGTCCAGACTCAACATGAAAGCAGAAGGCTGGCAGCCTTGGGGCTTGACTTTAATTCTTTAAGTGGGAAAAAGCAAATAACATGGATTCTCATCCAGAAATAAAAATGATTAAACTACGTAATATTTATATATTTTCATATGTAAATGGCGAATGTACTTCAATATAAAGCGAGGAAATGCAAGTGCGTTTCAAACTTTTCGACATTGTATATTTTATTGAACAGCATCACCAAAAGTCTTATTTACATTGCAAGCAGTTTTAAGTCTGACTAGGAAAAATTGCTAATCGAATAGGAAAATCCGCACAATTTCGTGGCTTTCAGATTTTAAAAATACGATTTCAATTTCATAACAATGGACGACTATGTCGAGTAGCTGATATAGGAATGATTAGACCAACCAACTTGCATGTATCTTATGCAATCTATGGACTAATATTTTTTTGTTTTGGCTATAAAGGCATATATTGCTTGCTTTCTTGTTCTTCAACTAATTATTAACTGATAACAGAATGTGTGGCAAACGTTTTCAGACTACAGTTTAAAAAGATAAACAAAGCTTTTTCCATTCTCGTAGTGTTTAGAACACGTTGTATGACTTCTTTCAGTTTCAGATCGATCCGGTTTACGCAAGACCACTTCATATTGCTCTTTAACTATGCTTTATTCCAATAAATTTGCTTACTTAGCTATGAATTTTCTTTGGTGATTACCCCTGCCATTAAAGTCGGATGCCCACGACAGCGGCGGAGGTGTGGGGTTCGAGGGCAGGAAGGAGAATCTCGCCATGCTCGTCTTTGTACTCCGCGTAGTCCTTCGTCAGGACGCACTCCATGTGGAGGCCGGTCATGAGGCGGCGGGAGTGCATGTTGGTGCAGGTGGAGGTCACCACGGGGAAGCCCCGCTGGCGACCCAGCTCGATGGTGGCGGCCACCAGACGCGATCCCAGTCGCTGACGACGAACCGAGGAGTCCACGCCCAGCATATAAAGGTAGAGGGCCCGCTCCACACCGAAGTGCGCGAAGATGTTGGCCTGCCGCTCGATCCCGGCCAGGAACTTGTGAATTTTGTCCAGCAGGCACTTGACCTCCTTCGCCTCGACCTCCTGGAACTCCCTTTCCAAATCCTCGGGCACCAGTTCACCGGCCAGGGCCACGCCCACAATGCGCCCCTCGGCGACGGCCACCAAGGAGAGATTCTGGGGAATGAGCGAGCGGTGCAGCTCCGCCTCCGGCTGAACCACTTCGCTCTGCGCGGCGTCCTCCTGGGGGATCAGCATCAGCGGCTCGTGCTTGAAGAAGTGCTCGGCGAGGAAGGTCTCAACCTCGTCGAAATCCTCCATTTTCATGGCGCGTATGGCGATCGCTGACATCTTCACAAGTGACCCGCTCGCGGACTGAGAGAAATTAGCGCAATTTGTTTGTTATATATGCCGTCGCACATGAAGTGAGCTTGCCCGCCTTCCTCTGAGCTTTTCACGAATATAGCCGCAGCCCAGCCCCTCGGAGAACGCACCTCTCACCAACCAACACCCACCTCCCACCTCCCATCCACCCACTGACCCAACGCACTCTTCTTATCAGAGCTTTTCGTAATATTGTGTGCTTGTTTGCCCCGAGGTTTAATGACACCAGTGTTTTTCTGAGCGTGTGAATAATTGTCTCAAACAATTTGGAGATTCGATTTACTCCAACTGAATTCGAGGGTTCATTTCCAAGTTCAATTCAGATCTTATAAACATCATACTGCACAGTGACCTTGCCTTAGGCTACAGATATAACTGTTTGTTACCCTAATATTGTGCATATTATTTCTCTGTTCTTAAGCTAATACCAAACCGAAATACAATGAATTCTCATAATACGGGTATAACAGGTAATTGTGGAGAGATTATTTTGAGAGTGCGGAGATGATCACACAGCAAAGTCGCTTAACAGTAGATGTCATATAAAATGCAAGACTTTGTTCCTAATGAATGACCAAAAGTAGACTCTGAGAAGCAGGTGTATTGGGGTAGGGAGATGCCGAATCAGCATTTGAACGGCATTTCGTATAACTCACTAGTGAGTGGTGAGTGGTCGGTGAACCATAAATAGAACAGGTTTAAGGCAAAGCTTTGTTTGCATTTAGCACGTGTCAGATGTTGAGTTCCCACAGCTCCTCACTCCTTTCCCCAGCACTCCACCTCCACAGGATGAATTATAAAGCGCTGCGATGCTCAAACACAAAATGAAGGTCATTGGTGCATTTTAGCTCCACCCCCTCCCCCCAGTTTCATTCGTTTGACCTCGCTGACTGTCACACGCACCTACAATATTAACCCTTAATTGTCTTATCTAACTGATTACGGCATCTGGTTCTCGTTGAGCGCGTTTGAACTCAGAAACAGAATTTTTATTTATTTACTTTTACTTCATTCCTTTTGGTTTCGTTCGCGGTCTTTATGGGAATTTAATTAGATTTAAAAGCCATAAACAAACCTCCGGACTCTGATGGAGGTCGCTTTTTACTTAATATTTTTAAGTCAGCAATTGATTTAAATTATTGGCTTTTAATTTGTTGCGTCATTTTGAAGGTTTTTACTGCAGTGACTTCGAAACAAAAACGAATTAAAGTTTATTGATATCGATTTTCACTGGGGCACGAGGCGGGTAGCAAGAACATTTGTAGCCATTTTGCGCGTTTCAAGTTTAATTTTCTATTTTTATGTTCGTGTTGATGACAACACCCAGAGGGGGTGGATGGGATTTCCCGGATTACGTGACCCGCTTAACAAATTTGTGCGTGTTTGGGCTCACCTAGTCTACGACTACCCCACCGTCGATAGCATTTATAGTTATTGCAGTTTTATCTGCTTGACCATTTCAAAAGTCACTTTTGGCCTTCACCATCTACACTCTTATTTAATTAAAAGCAAATGCACTTGAGTGCTTTCGTGGGTAGGGGGGTTAATGGGGGGTGCGCACTAAAAATTGAACACCAAGTGGGGTTCCCACGATCTCTCCCTGAATTACCTAGGGTTGTCCCTAAACACGTACATTGGCTCACAGTCTATTTGACCTACCATATACAAAAACTTTTAGCTGGTTAAACTCTGAAATAAATGGATATACCAAACAAACTTAAGCCAGCCTTTTTTATTTTCTGTCAATAGGTATTTTTAGGATATATTGAAGGTGTTGAACACACCTGAGACAAAATCAAAATATTTAATACCGGATAATTGAGCAAGCAATAAAGAAAGTTTACTAAAACTGGCTCAAGGTATGGATTTTTAGTAAGAAGTGATATGTTCTGACTAATCCAGGCCATTTCTATTGATTCTAACGTGTTGAATAAAGCAATGAGCATATTGAGAAATAACTTTTAGCAACAAATAATGTGGAATGAACCACACTCAGTCCATGTAATTGTCCAGTTTCACTTTTAAGCCTCTTACTAACTTGCCACAGAAATATTTTTCCTTTTGATGTACAACAAGATTAGCTAATTTGACCCAATTGTTTATGTGTCGGCGAGAAAATTGCACTGAAATGGACAGACAAATTTTGAATCTCATTGTTATGCTGCTAGGGAATCTATGCATGTGTATACTTTTATAATCTTATAAAAGGTACAAAAGTTAGATTGAGATGTGAATTTAATAAGATGGGTACTGCCACTTACTAACGTAAAGTTATTGGAGTTTTGCTTATCTAGGTAGTTATTTTGAATATAAAGCTAACATTGATTAAATATCGTAAGGCAGCTATAGAATAGCCAATCCTTTAGTGTGATTTTCAAACCCAGTTAGGAAATACCAATTCAATTTTAGGGTAACTAATCTTTCATCTTCTTAGCAGACAGTGCTTTGAGTTATAATTCGAATTAATAAATAATTTTAACAGTTAAAGTGCTTACAGTGGGTCTGAAGTGAACTGCACAATATTTTTTCTAGTTTTTATGGCGTTAAAAATCGGGCCTTCATGTTTTAATTGGTGGCCATTAGTTCAAAAACTTTTCTTAAATCTACCCCGACCTCGGCCAAAAGCGGCTGACCTCGCATTAAGATAAGCTGAAAACCGAAGAAAGGAAAATAACTTTTATTTCACATAATCAAATTGACATTAGCCGTCGTTAAACTTTGTTTAACTGAGTTTATTGGCACCCAAGGCCAACTTTCGGGGGTGGTGAAAAAGGGGAGGGAGGGGGAAAGCATTTGCTCTCACCTGGACTTTCAGGCGCCGGCGAATCCTGCGAAAGATCCTCTCAGTTCCCGCCGTCTCAGTCGCAGTCTCGAATGATGCTGTGCCACATGGGCTAATTTCACTAATCTAATCGGCGCGCCCCGCCCCCTCACCCACCGCAATTGCAAGGAACACACGACAGACGGCGATAGTCGATAGGCGACACCGATAGCCGATAGCCGATAACGATTGACGAAACGCCGCCAATTGAGCGACACGTTACCCCAGCAAAAGTTTCGCAACGACTACTGGGCCGACAATTGGAGCTGCCTCAACAAGCGCCACAATGTCATCCACACGCACTCACACACACACCCACACACAGACACGGAGGGCACGCGCAAAATTGGATTGGACGTGGAGCATTTGCGACTTCATTGCGCTACGCTATGCTTCCTGCCGCCGCGAAGAGAAAGCAGCGGAAGGCGAAGAGAAAGCAGTCGAGGCGAAGAGAGAGCGGCCAGAGGCGAAGTGCCAGCCAGCAAGCGATGGCGCAACTCAACGAAACTATGTAAAGAGAGAGCAGCGTGTGGCATGTGGGTCGCATTGGTGGGAAGAGGGAGCGTGGGCTGTTGCTCAGGCACAGGTGAGTTCATAATTCTTGCCTGAAAATAAGAATTAGGGTACATATTTTCCACGTACAACTCGAATCTCAATTACGCAATATTGTTAAACAAGTTTCCAACAGAAGAAACCCGTTTCCTTTGCTTCCCCTCAAAGCCTCTCCAACTGGCGCATTAAATATTTAAAATTATTGATTACATTTCTGGACCTGCTTCACCTTTCACCACCCAACCCGCCCACACAAACAAAACAAACTCAACGTTACTTTGTATTAACTTAAACTGAAGCCAAGAGATGGAGAGTTTGGGAGAGGGCTTGCGCTCTCTGTCGGAGCTCTCTTTGCCGCTCGTCATTTCTGTTATAGAGCGGCGTATAAGACGAAACGCTGGGAATGGACCATGCCTTGTTGACTCCGTCGCAAAGAGAGCGCAGGCGAAGGAGCGAAATGGAGCGGTGGCTGCCTGTTGATAAGCATTTACATGAGGTATATAGAAGGCTGTGGATCCTGGAGGGCGTGCTTCGCGGGGGTGGAAGTCATGTAAACAACTCCAAAAGTTTTCTGTTTGACGAACAAATTGTAAAGAAAAAATAACAGTAGGTATTATTAGCAGGTGCCGTAATTATATGAAGTTACATAATACAAATTACGCGTCAATGATTAAATTTCAATTTTTACCTTTTTCTTATTTTTGAGTAATAAACTTTAAGTAAAAAAAAAGAAATATTATTATTATTTGTGTTTTTTATTCGCTTAAAATAAAACTTATAAGTCCGTCACATTTATTTACATTTTTGACTAATATTGTATTACTCCATTGTGAAGGGATGAAATAACTAAATATTATATGAATATAACAAATAAATTATGAGATTATATAATTAATAAGTTTTGGCTTATCTAAAAATTAAGTAAAATAATTTTTGTTTTCATAAAAAGATAGCGATTTGAAAAAAATTCAAATATTCATTGTTAACGGTCTCTAATAACATTAACTTTAATTCCCATATTTTATTTAACTCTAAAGAACATAGTTTTTTATATTTATATATTTGTTTAAGGCAAATGTTTTAAAATGCATGTGCATCGCAGAACAAATTAAATAACCCCAATATGAAAAACAAAATCCTTAATTTAAGTTTTAGAAAAATTCAAGGTGTGGAACTTGAACTATGAACTTATGCAGTGTTGTCATAGAATTCTCTAAAAAAGGACCTAAAAGCGAATTTCCTTTCAATTTAGATTTTTTTTTTACCTTGGCGAGATTTTTATATTTTGTTCACCCAAAAAAACCCAACGCTTAAATTAAAAAGTTGTCTTGCGACAGAATTAGGGTATTTGTACTAAATTAATACCAACCAAAAAATAACAGGTCTAACTTTTGTAGTTTCATTTGTATTTTATCTTCTATTGTCAGTTTTGTTATGTTTAAGTCATTTCCAGTATACTAAAATTTAGTGTTTATTTTAATATATATAATAAACTCCGGGCCAAAGTTTCGATTCGTGACCATGGTGCCAAATTAAAATAATTGCGACAATTCGAACACAAAATGCGTTTGCAGGTTTAATTATTTTTATCGCGTTAGTGCTATATTTCGGTCATCGAGTTACTGCATTCTAGTGAACTTTGGGTTCAAAAAAGGGCAATAAGTTTTTGTCTTTATTGGCAGTTTGGTGAAAATGAGTAAGCAATCCAAGTGAGCTGATTGAAATGTACATATAGACATAAATGGGTGTAACATACGTTATGCACAAATAAAACAAGTGTAACCCTTTAATTATGCTTTGTGAAAAACATTAATTAAATTACAACCAGAATCACACCTGAAACACAATAAGTAGTTGCGCAGTCGTATTTAAATACAAATGTATCTATTTTTATGTACTTTGCCAATAGGTACAGTCACCTAAATAAAAAAGTCATCGAAAGTAAACTATTGTGTCTCAATAGTTTGAGTATTAAATAAATAGCTTCAATAGCTTAGGAACAATTTTTAGAAGTTATCAACTGTATACTCCCGACAATAAGATTTAAACGTACTCGTACCGGTAAACTAAGATTATTATAATAATTAAATTTTATCTTTTATTATTTAAGAAGCTGATTTAAATGGCATTCGTTAGCCTAATGCTAACATATCTCAACGATATAATTGTACTGTTTATGGTAACAAGTAATTTCTGTTCCCGTCTTGATACTTACATTCATTTAAATATATATCTTGCCGAAGCACATACAAACATGTACATATGTATGTCACAGCTGCAAAATGTAGAGATCTAGAGTTCGTTGAGTTACAATATTTTGAAAGTTATTTCGCGATTACAAATATGTAGCCCTTACTACTTCCTAAATATGTTCTTTGATTACACAGGTATGCAGCTAACGAATTCCACGAACCATTTGTATTTCCCAGGTCGTATAAAACATTCCACAGACTTCGCAAAAAATTTTTTTTAAATTTCGTGTTAAAGAGTATTAATATGAATATTAAAAAATTTCTTATTTACTACTGTTTCCATCGAATGTGTATTTTGAAACTCCAAAGACATGTTAAATGGTTTAAGCCGGGACTCTTTTGTATAATGCTGATGTACTAAGAGTTGCATATGAAAAATATTACCAATAGAATAACTTTCAAAAGAAGATTACTAAATTCCTTACGAAATAAATATAAATATAAAAATATTCTAACAATGTACTTTAGTTGAGTTTTTTCCCAAATTGGTAATATAATTTGATATTTAAAAAAATATTTATTTAAGGCACATTTCCGGATTCAGCACTTTTTCAATATTTTTTGATATTTAATTTATTTAATTAATCTTTGCCTCATGAGTTATAATTTTCACAAAAACTGTTAATTGGTTGTGCTTCTTATTAATATTTAGTTGTTTTATTTTTGTACAGTACAATTAAAACATAAAGCCCAGTTTTATTTAACTTTCCTCGGCACGAGTTTGACCAGTTTGTGGTATTGAATTAATACTACTGAGTATAGGTGATTTATTAATTAATAATATTTAAATACAGAATTTCTGTGTGCTTCGTGCATTTTTTTTAACCAAGAGTATTAATTTTAAACTGAAAATTGATTTGTGTGTGGTTTAAAAATGACACCACAGATCACATTTGAACACTCTTCTTATTTAATCAATTTACTGTTTGAGTACAGGTTATAAAATTTAAATACATTTATTTTAACAAAGCTGCAATGGAAACATAAATTTAAGTCTTTAAAGATAAGGTATGGTAATGTTGCAAAAAGGGACTTTGTTCGTTTTTTAATATTATTTTGTTCAATAAATTGACTGTACACTATCGAAAGGATTAGAAACCCGATTTCGGCACTCTTTTACTGTATATTTAAAACTAATGATTCGACACAAAACTCGCGGATATGCCACATGAAAGACAAAAGGCGTTTGACGACTGGAAAATATGAGAAGAGCCATCCGACTCGTTTCTCAATAAGGTCTGACCGTTTGCAGGTATTGGGGATCTTAAGTCAAGCCGACATGGTGATTGTTGTGGCATTTATGAAGGGGCAGAAAGTGGCGGAAATCAATAAGCCGCTAAGGGAAGAATGAGGTAGGAACGAGGCAACTGACAACGCAGTCGCATGACGTGGCAAACAACTTAACACCTGAACTGTCTGGTCTGTCAAAAGTGATCTCGGGAGGGACTGCGGAGTGAGGCCTCGGGAAAACAAATATTAACTCGGTTTTGGCTGTGAGCAGGGAAAATTGGAACAAAAGAACAGGAAGATTTCAGACGAGTGTCTGAGGGAAAGGGTTTCCTATGACAGCCTGACGCTCCTATAAAGTCATAAGCTGCTAAAAGTCGATTGGAAAAGTCGCTGGAATTCGAAGTGGGTAAACAAACTCACCTTAAAGCAAACTGATACCCAAACTGAAACATTATTCGACAGTTAGTCGCAGTATGGAGCAACGACCCCGTGCTTTAAATAACCAAAAAGTGCCACGTGCTCAACATTAATCATATATCACTACAATATACCAGACAAATGTTTGGTTTTTTTGCTGTCATTAGGAAAAACCTACATAGCTTAGGAAAGTCACTAAAATATTCGGAAGCACAATTATGGCAAGATTACGATTGGCTTACAAACAAAAACCACACATTTGATTAAAAGACAATACCTAAAACTATAGTCAAACATTACCTATAATTATATTTAAGGGTAAGCAAAACCTATAATTCCAAAAGTGCCAATAGAACCCGTAAATTGTGCTTCCGTTAATGTATGTAACTTATTATTGAATAGGTTATATTCTATTCAAAAGAGGGAAAGTTGGGAAAGCCGATTAGTTTCGTTTAAAATTTAGTTTTTGGTATCTTATTGCTTAGTTGTGTAAAAGTGTGCAAATATGTATTTATATTATTAAATAATATTTACTACATAGTACATAGACTTCAGTTTTTTAAGCCCTGCTCAACAAACTCTTTTACTTTGAAACAAGCAGTTACAATTTTTAAAACTTAATCACAATATAATAGTTGTTTCCCAGGAAAAATGTGATTTGTTACTTATAT